TTTGGCGGGTCCGGGCTGGGGATTCCAACCCGCCACCTTTGGTGTACGTGGCTGGCGCCTTAGCCGGTTGAGCTATAGGCTCCGAGCCTAAACTGGGAATTATTATCAAGCAAATTAAGGTCATTGTAACTAACTAATGGAATATCCACTACCGTGGGGTTCTAAAACAATTCAGTAATTTTTAAAAGGTAACATTAAAAACACATACAAGGTCTGACAATTAAGATTATGAACTCAACCTAGAAAAAGCACTAATAGTTCCTTGCTGAATTATCACTACAGTCCCGTTGAAGTGCTCTCCTCGGGAAGCTCTGCCCTGATACCAGTGCCTAGTCCACCCTTCAAAGCAATTTTGGAACTCTTTTTCTGGAATGGCCCTAGGAGCTATCATCAGATTACCCTTGATATCCTTCCTTTCAGTATTTCCTTTATCTTCAGGTAAAAAAAAAGTCATTAGGGCCTGATCAAGTGAGTAGATAGGGTGGTCCAATAGGGTTACTTGTTTACTGGCTAAAAACTCCCTCGTGGACAGTGCTATGTGAACTCATGCACTGTTACAATGTAACAGCCATGAGTTTTGGTCAAGATTTTCAATTAAGATGTTCCTATTTCTGTCAATATTTACTTGATCTGCTATGGTTTTCATAGTCAACTGATGATTTTGACATACAATTTGACAAATTTTTGCAAAGTTTTCATCAGTTCTGCTCTTTACTGGTCATCCTGGTCTCTCTTCCTCAGTGATGTTTTCTCTTCCCTCAGAAGAAGGCTTAATCCATTTGTGTGCTGCAGTTTTCTTCATTGCATCATCCCCATAAACCTGCACTAACAGTCCCTGATTTCATTTCCACTCTTGCCAAATTTAATCAGAAATTTAATATTTATTTGTTGTTCTCATTCAAGTTCTGACATTCTTACAACAGCACACAAAAAAACAACAATAATAATGCCACTCAGCAGGACACTGCCACATGCCACTAGAACACAACTGTGTGACACTGATATACCAAGGTTACAAAACCATACCACGTTGTTTGTAGAGTGCTGAATGTAAGTGCATGCTGGCACGTTTGCAAACTTAATTGTCAGACCTCACATAAGCAGGCACACATAGAGATAGCTTAGATTTTTAAAGATAATAAAAACTCCAAAGCAACAAGAGCAACAAGTATTCAAGAACATTAGTAAATAATTAACTCAATTAAGGAGAATGCCTTCAAATTGTACCTGATGTCAAGTGACAAAAAGAAAATTTTGTGTTCACTAAATATAATTTCTGAACAGCACAACAGAAAAAGCAAAAGAATAAAACAAACGTAAATACATCATATTTTTTAAAAGGCAATTTACCTTCATTCACATTTAGATCTTCTTTCACTGATGTTCTGTAGAATCTTAACTTTAACCTTTTTGCCAGTGCCTCAGCTTCCTCACTGCACATCAATTAAAAAAATACTTATAAATGTACCTTCTGTCATTAAATACCTTATAAATGTACCTTTGTTTTAAAGTTACTTTAATTACATTTACTGAATACAGTTTGGCAGAGCAGGTTAGGAAGGTGGATCAGATCTTTCAGAAAAATTTTCACATTTCTTTTTAAAGAAGCTTGATATTGATGCTCAGTTAAGTAAAACCAGCTGAGAGCTATGTTTTGTGAATCCCTTATTTTATTCTTGCTGGCCATGAAATAACTTTGCTGCCAAAAGCCAAAGTCAGCATATTAATGATTACGTCTACAAAAGTGGACTCTCCATTTTAGTTTTGCTAGGACTCCTAATATTGTTGATAGTTTTATTAGTACTGTGGTCAACAACTATGCTCCAAATGGCTCCCAAATATCCTGTCTCCTGGTCTTCACACCTTTTGTAGTCTCCCGCCACACTAATCGAGGTATATCTGGGTGTGTAATATTATACAACAGAAATGATGGTATGTGACTTCTGAGACTGAGTTGTAAGAGACAGTGTAGCTTCTGCCTTCTTCTCTTCAATCACCTGCTCTAGGGAGGCAGCTATCATTTTGTGAAAACACTAAAGCAGTCTGAAGGAGAGGCCCCCATGACAAGAACCAAGGCCTCCTGCCAAGTGAGTAAGCCACCTTGGAAAGGATGGGCTGGCCCAGTCAAGGCTTTCTGTGAATACAAACCAGCCAACATCTTGACTGCAGCCTCATGAAAAACCTGCCAGCTGAGCCACTCCCAAATTCCCAACCCAAAGAAACTGTAATCCAATAGGTATTTGTTGTTTCAACCCACTAAGTTTTGGGCTAATTTGTTATATAGTAACAGATAGCTAATATAAGAAAAAATAAGGTAAAAACGAAGCAAAGATTAAAGCTAGCAAAAATGTTAATCATATAATGAGCAAATATTCATAGTCAGAAATTATCTAAATCCTAGTTTCTGCCCACAAATTTGAGCATGATAGTTCCAAATATACAAAAAAATATGAATTTGAACCTTTTATTTAAATTCATCAACATAGGATATTCTAGATAATAAAACACCTAGGTATACTTTTCTTAACATTCTTACTATATTTAGGTTTGACTTAACACGAAGAATTGGATTTGTGGTACAAGGATCTGGGATTAGAGCTATAAAGGAACCTTCAAAATTTAATCCTTTAATTTTCTGTATTTACGAATCTGTGAATTTTCTAAGCCCAAACCAATCACATAGAGTAGCTCACAGAAAATTTTGGTATAAAACCTTTAAATAATTAAAACTTTCAAAATATAATATAAAATCTTTCCTAAATTTTATTGTCCATGCAAAGTTAAAATATGTTTTTAACTTCAGAGAATTACTGTCCCTCCTCCCCCAAAGTAGCCATCTTACTTTTTTATACAAGAATCATCCAAAAGGTCAATCTTGTTCTGTACAAGTACACTCGGTATATCTCCAACTTCAGCGACTACTTTCTCTCTCCAACTAGAAACTGCTTCAAAAGATTCCCTGTCAGTGGTAGAAAATACAAGCACACAAGCCTGGGCTCCTGTAAAGGCACAAAATAAAAATGTCATTTACATGAATAAAAAGTCCCACAGCAGGGTGGGGGCAACTTATACCTATTCAAAACAACTTTTATATAAATAAATGCTGACCTCATCTCTGTAGCACTACTGCTTGTTTTTCAACATATACTCTATTTTCTAACTCAGAAAACCAATTTTTATCAAGAACAATGCTTCTCAAATATGTCCAAATATCAGAGTACCCTCAAAACCATATACTTTGTTGTTGGAAAATCACAAATATATGTTAAATAAATTCCATTATAGGAGCTAGAGAGAATGGTAAATGGAGAAAGAATGATGGGATGTTTTCAGGTTCTTGTTAATATTGTCATTTGTTTCTTAATTTCTTTCAGCATAAATTTAAGAAAATTTTGAGGAAAAAAATCACAATTTACTCATTCTTTTCATTTTGTAAAAAAAGTATTATATTGTTTAGTTACATATTTTAGTAGGATACCAGTGACCATAAGGAACATAATTTGAGAACCAATGCCAAAAGTGGAATCAATCAATCAGTAGGGGAGAAAAAACTTAGTTTTTTTACCCTATTTAACCGCATAAGTCCTGTACTGAATCCACTGACAATATTTTAACCATCAACTATCACATTAGGTTGATGATACTTAAGATTAAAAATATGGCTAGGTGCAGTGGCTCATGCCCGTAGTCTCAGCTACTTGGAGGCTGAGGTGGGAGGATCAACCTGAAACCAGGAGTTCAAGGCTTCTGTGAGAGATGATCATGTCACGGCACTCTAGCCGGGGTGACACAGCAAGACCCAGTCTCTAAATAAATAAGCAGGAAACTCCTGGAAGAAGCTGTTTTACAAATTATTAACTGTTTATTCAGGCAGCATGGTGATAAAAGCAGGTGTATCAGCAACAAGAGAAAATCATCCTGGAGGTCAAGAGAATTTCCTCAAATCAAGGCGCGCTTTCCAACTGTTACCCCTTCCTTACAGATCCCTCAGGGATACAAGTTTTCTACTGAGACTCAAGACACTCTAGGGCCAGAAATATGCAGTTTCTATATCACCAGAGGAATCCTGTAGAAAGCAGATCACAGAATAAAAAAAGGAAAAGAAAGAAAAAATTCCCACAGTTCCCTAGTACTGTAAAGGTAGAAGAGTCATTTGGGAAAATCTTCTCTACTCTAAAAACAGGTTTTAAACCAAATGAATAATTAATTATATAAAACTGAAGAGATCAAATGAGTACATTGATAAATTTGCATTTACTTGAATTCTAGTATTTACCTAAACTACAAATAACATTAATAATAATTTAAGAAATTGTTCTTTCTTTTTTCTTTCTTTTTCTTTTCTTCTTTTTTTTTGAGACAGAGACTCACTATGTCACCCTTGGTAGACTGCCCTGGCATCACAGCTCATAGCAACCTCCAACTCTTGGGCTTAAGAAATTCTCTTGCCTCATCCTCCCAAGTAGCTGGGACTACAGGCGCCCGACACAACAGCCCACCTATTTTTTTGTTGCAGGTGTCATTGTTTAGAAGGCCCAGGCCAGGTTCAAACCCGCCAGCCCCAGCGTATGTTGCTGGCGCCCTAACCACTAAGCCACAGTGCCGAGTCTATTCTTTCTTTTATCATAAAATTCTATTTGTTAGCTTTAAGCCCAGAAGTTTATATCTAGTTAACTGCCATTTCAACTTTGTGCACAATACGGTACTTCTAGACACACAAGTTCTTAGACATGTAAAAACAAAAAAAACTGTGGGAAGTATATAATGAAAAAAGCTAATCAGATAGTGACAAATATGAGCAGATTAAGAAAAACTCACACAAAAAGTCAAGGACCAAAAGATAAAAGAAAAAGCATGTCCCTAACAGCCCCCAAATTATTTAGTAGGGGCCAGGATGGGAAGAGATCAAAGGAGGGTAAGAATGTGCCCAAGGGCTCATCTGAAGAGGAAGATGTAATGGGGACATGATTGACATCATCAAGGGAGGTGTGTACACAGTGCAGCAGGTACCTGGGCCCTGCACATGACCCCTCAGCCCCAGTTTCACTGTAGCTGTGGAGGGCAGGTCCTGCCGCCACTGTCCTGCCTCAAGCCCATGCTGCAGGTGGCTCCCTCTGCTTGCCTGCCTCAGGACTTTGCTGATGCATCCCCAAATGGACGCTGAGACCTCTGGAGGAATGCTTAAGCTGTGGGTATGTGAATCCTGGGGCACAGGGGGCATATCCACATGGCTCCTCAAAGAGACTCACCCCCAGCGATACTCAACCATACAGCGAAAAACCCTGTATTGTTTTTCTCCCTTCCTTGCCTCACTCCTCATCTGTCATGTCCTGGGATCATGTCCCTATAAACCACCCTCACCCAGCCAGGGTAGGGGAAGGGCAGAGAGAGGCTCAAACTAACACAGTAAGTTAAAGGCAATCACCACAAGAATAAAAACAAACTCTGACTATTAAACAGGAGAAAAACAGTCATCTCTCGAAAGAATGGTACACGAATCTCTAAAGCTGTATGGTTCACCTGATAACACGCCTGCAGATCAGATGCTGTGCCACTTTCTCTCATTTAACCTAAATATATTGCTAAAGTAAAATAAGAAAATGAACAGATGGCCTGGATTACTTTTGTGGTTATAATAATTCTAACAAATGTTGGCCAACTACTTGTTTTAACTTCCTCTAACTCAATAAAATACTTTGTCAAACTGTGATCTATGATGGTTTTTTTACGTTTAGAAAAAGTCCAACAACTAAAAAGCTCTTTTTCTTCTTCTTCTTCTTCTTTTCTTTTGTTTGTGTTTTTGAGATAGAATTTTGCTCTTTTGACTCAGGCTAGAGTGCAGTCATCATAGCTCTCCACAACCTCAAACTCCAGGGCTCCAGCAATCCTCTTGCCTCAGCCTCCTGAGTAGCTGGGACTATAGGTGTGCTCTAACACACACAGCTGATTTTTCTATTTTTTTTTTGTGGAAACAGGGGTCTTGCTCTTGCTCGGGGTGTTCTGAACTCCTGACCTCAAGTGATCCTCCTGCTTAGCCACCCAGAGTGCTAGGATTACAGGCTTAACACATGTAGTATGCCAGGGTGCTGTATTTTGGGGTAGCATATTCTCTACTCTATCTCAAACCTAGAAAAGAATGGACTTCTGCAGAACCAATTAAGGAACTTGTTAAATGTTCCCAGCAACCAGGAGACTCCTGGACTAGTGATGCCTTAATTTGAGCCTGAGAAAAAGGCTGTGGCTGGGAGTGAGAGTGAAAGACAAGAGAGCTGCACTTGGGAGGACCGTGCTCCCTCTACTGGCAGGGTAAAGACTGCACACGAATGTCGGGGGCAGAGATTAACCATGGCTAAGACTTAGAGCTAGTGTTAACAAAAAAGAAAGCTTACAAGATTTACACTGTGGGAAAACGAAAGCTTTATTTATCAAAGAGTTTTTAGCTTGGAGTGGCCATTCTGGCAGGCTGGGAAACAAGGCTCTGGTCACAAACCAGGAACAAGTGTTTTAACTAAGAGACAAAAGGAAAAAATTTATATTGAGAGGAGTGGCTAAACATACATATTTTTAAAACTACAGGAGGAGTCATGAGTATTTATGAAAAGAAAATGTGCACGTGTAATTGTGCTTTACACCTCACAGTCCCTTGGGGTCCCCTTGGCTGAGAGGGGTCCGTTCAGTTAGCAAAGGGCTTAGGATTTTGTTTTTAGTTCACATTAGTGATGGAGTGCAGGATATGCAATCCCTAAAATATGGGACCCTGGCATACTGAATGTTTTAAGCTGAAAGAATTTCAGAAAACAGGGGAAGCAGAAAATCCCCCTCCTAAAACTCAGGAGTTTCTGACTGTCCCCTAAAGCAGGTCAGAAGATCTTTATGTGTGTATGCTCCCCATACTGGGAAGAAAGGTGCATCCTATTGCCAAAGATGAAGGAACAAAAAGAAGAATCTAAACAGGCACTGCTAAGCTTCCCCAGGTTAATACACTCACCTCACATTCCCTGTCCTATCATCTCTCCAAACTTCATCAAACCTGCTATAAAAACACTAAAGTGGCTCGGCACCTGTGGCTCAAGTGGCTAAGGCGCCAGCCATATACACCTAAGGTGGTGGGTTCGAATCCAGCCTGGGCCCACCAAACAACAATAACGGCTGCAACCAAAAAATAGCCGGGTGTTGTGGCAGGCGCCTGTGGTCCCAGCTACTTGGGAGGCTAAGGCAGGAGACTTGCTTGAGCCCAGGAGTTGGAGGTTGCTGTGAGCTGTGATGCCACAGCACTCTATCCAGGGGGACAGCTTGAGGCTCTGTCTCAAAATAAAAAAAAAAAAACTACTAAGGTTTGGCTGTTTCTTCAGTCTTCTTTAACTTATGAAGGCTCTCACGCCACATTTAAATTTGTATGCTTTTCTCTTATTAATCTGTGTGTTGCTCTGGGTCCACAGCTATGAACTTAGAAGGGGAGACAAAAAAGATAGTTCTCACTCCCTACCCTAGCATGAGACTAGTGATTTTAAATCACGTGTAGTAGGGCCACTTAGCAGGTGACAGGAGCACAGCATAAAGGAAGATCCCGGTAGAATGCTTGCAAAGGGGTTGGAATATGCCACTGTGGCCAAAAAATTAATCCTTCCTAAAAGAACTCAATTGTCATAAATCTCAAGGACAGGGAAGACTGACATACCAAGAAATACATTGTAACCAAACTGTCATACCTCCCATCTATTCTCCTAACGGTGCATGTATCTTTCAAGAAAAATCATTTATTTTCTCATAAATGCCCTTCTCTCCCTCCCTTTCTGTTAAGATAGGCCCCAAATTCCAACCCTTTCCTTGAGCGAACGTCCACTTGTACAAGACTGAAATCTGTCTTTTCTTCTCTTGCTAATCCATCTTTCTCCAGAATAAAGCATCCCCCCTCCTCCATCATGGACCTAAGAGGGTAGAGGAAGTTTTTCCTCTTCTACACTTGATTCCCATGGTTACAAAGGAACACAGCAACTGC